CACTCTGTACACTTTTTACTGCATTGCTTTTACCTTGTCGTTGATCAGCAGCTCCATGGGGTTGCTGCCCCATTCAATAAGCACCAACTCATTGGCTTGTCCAGGTATGGCGTAGGAGAAGGGAGTACCGAGGCCAGGACCTGCTCCTGCCTTCAGCCACAGGCAAATTGTCAGGGCAAAGATCTCATTGACCACTGACCGCTTCATCCGGGCGTACATGTAGTTGGTTCTCATTGGGAAGTCGAGCAGGAACGCGTTGGGACTCTTTAGCTTTAGCTTCTGGTTTCCTGGTGAAGATATAGATTTTGGTCATTTTTACATACTGTTTTAACACCAGCAGTTTCAGTTGAACATTATGTTGCTAGTTGCAGCCGCTAATGGTTTCTATATGTTCTGAAGCAGTTTGTCTGACATCGTTACGTCCACCATTTCGTCAGATCTGTGACTAAGCAAATACTCACAGCCATAGTAGCTAATACAACAACATTTTGTAGCTGTTTATATACCGTTGGGCTAACTGTTATATGTTTTTTTACTTTTTCTCTTGTGGACTCTTACATTGACATGAGAAACTAATTTCTTCCTGTATGTCTTTTTGTCTGTTTATATAGTTCAAAGGCAATTCCTTAGTAAAGATTCCTTGACAAAAAAAGACTTTCAAATGCAGCCCAGCAGTAAAATGATCACAGGATATAATCAGGATGAATTACTACATGTAAAATAATTAAATTAAAGCAATTTAAATGTGATCTATTGAGACTATAGAAATATAATTTATGATCAAATGATGAATGAATGAAGACAATGGCCTCCATTTAATTTAATTTACCATCTTGAGTCTTTTTGTGTGAGTCATTTTGAATTTGTGAGTTGTGAGTTTTTGCTTCTTAGCTTTTTCATAGAAGAATTTTCCTTTTATGATTACATTCAAATTACAGAAATAAGCCACTGGTGTCTTCAACAGATACAAATCACTTTCAGAAAAACCTTTTTTTAACAAAACTGTGTGTACCGTGGTCACTGTTGCCGTGGTGAATTTGGCTGAGCACTGTTTCCAGCTTGTTGTGCCCCGTGCCCCGTGGACTTGTCTCTTTGCTGCTGAAAGGCGGCCGCTGTGGTGGATGATCGATACCGTGGTGGTCGTCATGGTGGTCGTTGCCATGGTGATTATCATGGTGATCATCGTGGGGGTCATCGTAGTGTCCTGGTCCGTGGTGATAGTCGTAGTGATCATCGTGGTAATCGCTGCCACTGTGATCATCGTGGCGACCGTGGTGGTCATCGTGGTGGTCATCGTGGTGATCATCATGATGGTCATCATGGTGGTCATCATGGTGGATGCTGCGATGGTTGCCATAGTTACCATGATGCCGGCTGTGGTACGAGTCATAGTGGTGGTCGTGATGGCGATTGTGGTGACCATTGCGAAGGTTGTACCTGTGGCTACCCTGGTGGTTGTTACGATGGCTGTCGTGGTGGTCGTCGCGGTGACCGGTACCACGGTGGTTATCTGTGTGGTCGTCACGGTGACCGGTACCACGGTGGTCATCGTGGTGGTCGTCGTGGTGGTCGTCATGGTGATCATCATGGTGGTCGTTATGGTGACCGTAGTCATGGTGATCTCTGTAGTAGCTGTGCAGCTGCTCCTCCAGAGCGGTGATCTTCCGCTGGAGGAGTTCCCTCAGGGAGCTGGAGTAGGAGCTGGAGGAGTTCCTGGCCTGCAGAGACATACAGACATCGGTCAAGACTTCCAGAGTTCACACAGTGGAGGCAATGTAGGATTCAGTTAACACTTGAATATTAGAAAATGAATCAAATAATGGCTTTAGAATTGTAAACCTTTATCATTATCAAGTTGTAGATGATAATATTAAATAAAAGGAAGCACTGAGTAGACAGACCCCTGTACACATAGATACATTGCTAGGTTTAGAGCAGCTGGAGAGTAACAAGAAGAGAGAGAGAGAGAGAGAGCGTTAGTCACTTGAGTGCTCTGGTGAGCTACAGAGGAGCTGCATTATTCTTTACATTTAAGCCAACATGGACAAGAAATCCAAAAAGTCACATGACAACTGAGCAAACTTGAGCTTTTAAAGATGTGGGATGCAGAAAAGGCTAGTAAGTGGACCATGAGATGAAATTGAGACTTTCCAAGGTTAAGAATGAACTTTCAGACCTCGAGAACTGTCAAACTCTAAGCTTGAACAACATCACAACGAGTTGCAGTAAATTCAATGATGTGCAGCGAATTAAGAAGAATTGTGGTGTGACATTTAAAGTTGCAGGGGGATAGTTTCGGTCCCTCCCTTTAAGTTCACTCCTCCTCCTTCCTCTCCCTTGCTCATCCTCGCTTTCAAATCCGGCTTTGTTCCCTGCCAGCGCTTGCCACGATTAATAGCCTCGTCAGGGAGGATGAAGCTAATTGGAGGTGAGGCTGGCTAGCGCCCTTAGGCGCATGGCCAGAGGCTGGTTGCATAGACATCCTGTTAGAGGAGGGAGTGATGGAAGGTAAATCTTGGCTCCGCTTCTGTTTTGTTTCACACCTTCGAGGAAGATTGAAGGGGATTTCTGGCAACACTTTCCTGGAGCATGGCCTGAGACCACCTGAACTGATAATGAGGCTTTCACAGGCGAGCGGGCAGCAGTTTTAGTCTCGCAATGAGACACCAGCATCATTAAATGTTGAAACATAAGTGAGACAGCAGAACCACATGTATAGCTTGTTTTAGATGCTGGAACACATTTTAGAGAATACATTACATACTACCGCGTATTTCTACAATTGGAAAAAATTCTGGGGAAGCAACAATAACAGTTCCAAAAGTTCCCAGGGAGCACTTAAATAATACTTTGTCGGATTCAAACTGAAATAAATTCCAGTTAAAAAGAAGTGGTTCTCAACCTTTTTGGCTTGTGATACAAAGTTGACATACTTGGTCTGGTTCCCCTGGGAAAACAGATTCTTAATCTCAATGCGATTAACCAGGATGAATAAACACTGAAGGAATGTACAAATAACAATATTATGATCTGATGATCTGGAGCTCTCCCTCAGAGAGGCTGGTACCCGCCCTCTTCTTCTGTCACACCGCTGTCCTGCTCTAGGCCTGATTCTTCTCACTCCATCATGTGATTGTTTGACACAGGGGATGTTTGAGGTCAGGGGTGAGGGCTAAGCAACTTAGAGCAGCTTCCTGTTCAAGTTTGGGCTTGGCTACCGATATCCAGCAATTGAGAGCCGGAACAGCTCTGAGGGGACATTAGTGTCAGATGGCTCAGAGACAACAGACAAACAGCTGCTGTGTGACTAGTGGTTCTTAATCTCCTCCAACTTTTAAATCTCACTTAAAATTGTTACAGAAGAAGCTACTTGAAATAAAAAATATGTATTATTAACCAAAAAATGGCCTTTTAATGTAGTGAACACAAACAGCATCCTATGGGTTACTTCCTCATGAAACACACCCATCTTACAGTTTTTTTGGCAGCAGAAATCACCGGCAGCTGATTCGGCGGTTGAGCTTGTGACCTTTAATGACGCAAGACACGACCCCAATTAAGTCAATCCTTTGATAGGCCTCTGCCTCCCTACAGACTGTTCAGTCTTTCTGCAGACACATTACTAAGCATTTCAAACTGTTTGTATGGTGCAGAAAGCGTAACTCTTGAGGATTTTTTACCCTTTTCACCTGAGACATCAGAGCTTTAATTACAGACTTATGAATATATTTAGATAGGAGACAGTGCTATGTCTTACAGGCCCTGCAGCGTTTTAGTATAGCAAAGAGAAGAAACTCTTTTAATTAATTAATTAATTGATTAATTCTTTAAAAAATATAACAGCTTCTGTAGGAATCAGTACAGATAACTGAACTTGAGAAAGAGCAGAATCTCATGACAGTGAAATAATGTTAATAGAAATGTGTTAACCCTTTGCCTGCTTTGGAAAGTTTAGTCCACATCATAAGTTGAATCAGTTAGAAATAAGCATTACCTCGCTTCAGACTATTGTTTTCTTATGGTCTAATGTAATGTCTCTCTGGGCCCTTTTTCAGCTGTCAGACAACTACAATACTAAGTGTCCTGTGTATTAGCCTTGAATAGTAAACTCCAACTCGACCATGGAGAATAAAACTCTTGCTTTTAACCATTAAGAATAAACATCACAAAATGCATCTACTGCTTTTGAGTTAATTTCCCTGGGGCTGGAAGATGTAGTTTTTATTTGACTGTTATTTCCTGTTGACGGTTTTGCTGTAATGCCTGCAGATAAAAGGCAGAAAGTCAATGGTGCAGGTCGACCTGTACAAGCAATGTGGAGCTCCAACTCTCAATATTGGAGCAAGAAGCTGGTCACCAAAGAAATAACAAAGCAGAAGAGATATGAAACAGGCTACAAATGATCACATGCAGCTGCATTGTTTCTCAGCCGTGACATGTACTGAAATTCAAAACTGTGAGGTGCAAGGAGGATCAAGGATCTAGTGCAAATCTTGGTATTGATTCTCCAATTTCGTTTCTAAAAGCACATTCTCCATTAGCAGGCTATGAACATTACACTATTTCACACAACTGACTACACACAATATGAATTTTGGTTTGACAGTTTCAGGAAGTTGAATTTGATGATGTAAACATTCAGAAATTACCTTTGTAAAAAACACATTTATTTCCCCATTGTGGTTTCAAACTAAACAAAGTAGCTTATTTGACCTTGTTCCTACCATGTGTGTCAGTAAACATCCCTGGGGCTTATTTATTAGTTATTTTAATTTGATCCACTTACTTTGCATGTTTTAATATATTCACCATTAAAGTTTGAATTCAAAACTACTAGTCTTCTTTAGTACCTAAACTGTACTGTACTGTACTGTACTGGTGGCACAAATAATGCCTTTTATCTGAGCGTGCATTGCAGATTTTTGCACTCACCTGCAAGTTCTCCAGCCTCTCCTTCAGTGTCTGCAGTGTTTTGCCTGTCTGTTCAGGGGAGAAGGAGCTGTGTTTTCCGTATGATGAGCCCTTCCTGTGGTGGGGATCTGACCTGTGGCTGCCGTGGGAGTAGTGGTGATCGTTGCTGTGATACGTCGAAGGCCCGTGGTGTGATGATGTATGGTGGCTGCTGTGCTGCCCGTGGTGATCATCATGGTTGTTATCATGATGGGTATCGTGATGGTTGTCGTGATGATTTTCATGGTGGTTGTCATGGTGACCAACACTATGGTGACCACCGAAGCCCTCGCACAAGGTGAGCTTGGCAGTCAGCTCCCTGATGGTCTCCCGCTGGTCCAGGATGGTCTCCTTTTGCCTCACAAGGCTCTCACGCAGGTGCAAGATGGTGGCTTTGGCCTCGTCGGACATCATTGCTCGCCGGTTACTGCCATTGTGGCCATTAGTGTGGCCGTTACTGCTTGGTCCATGGGGCACACTGGGTGGAGAATAGCAACTGGGGTCGGCTTCTGGGGGAATTGGAGTGCAAACAAATTTGGGGCTAATTCCATAGTCATGTTCTATGCCGGGCAAACTGCCTGCTGCTGCTGCACATGACAGGAAGTAGTAAAAAATTAGTGAACGTAGGGGAAAGAAGGGGGGGACGACGCCCAGAGAGGCTCCAACCCATTGCTGGTGCCTTGCAGACAAAGGCATGAGGCTCAGAGGACTGACGTCTCTGGCCATATTTGGCCTGCGTCAAAGTTATTCCTTGACCAATGACAGTTTTCCCAGGTCTTAGCTTTGTTGTGACGCACACCATGAATGGAGGTCATATGCGTTGGATTGAAAGGTGTTGGGGCAAAGCATGTCAACAATGAAATCGCAGATGAAATCTCCTCCCAGACAGCATAAATCCCTTTTAGAGGACAAATAGCAAAAACTCCAGGGCAGTATTCCAAAAGCACCCAAAGGGTCCTGCCAAACTCCTTAGCTGTTTGCCTTCAAAACAACCCTGTGGTATCACGCAAGGCTTCTTGGCTCCATGGCAAGTAAACAAGCTGTGAGAGCTGGGCTGATATATCCTGATAGGTCCTTCTGCTGTCTCTGGGAAGAGGTGTTGGGCCCCCGCCAGCCAGGTGATCCCTCTTGGCTCCAAGGACCTCCTGTGTTTGACAGCCAAGAGTATTCCCTTTAACTTCGGCTTCTAACCACCCATCAGAGTGCAGAGAAAGGAAAAAGAAAAAACAAGATATCAAGAAAACAAGTCAAGAAAACCTGAGATATAATAAAATAAATAAATGACTAACTGGAATTTTGACTGACTGTTTTAAAATAACTGATGTTATTGAGTGTAATTTCAAGTTTGAAGCACATATAATTTACATTTCAACCAATTAGAACAACAAAACAAAAACTAGAAAACACGTTTGATAAATCATTGTCAAAATGTGGCTACATAGTTTCTCCTACACACATGGAAGGCGGATCTGTTCTCAAATGGTTGCAATCGGTAACTTCACCGCTTAATGCTACAAATCCTGCACACTGGTCCTTTATATGATTGAAGGACTGGACAGAGTGAGATTTAAATAAAGGGAATCTGGGTCACAACTGAATTAAGGGAAATAAACATGCGTATAAATAGATGCATACTAGTATATTGGTTGTATAGATAGATACAAATATGTTTAGATAAATAACAGGGAGAGAATGCATAAGTGGAAGGTGATCTACATCATAAATAATTCATCTCCAATTATCAAATCGCTCCTTCAGTCTGTCAGCATTTCCTGTCTGTACTGAGCCGACTACAGTGACGCCAGCAGGCAGGTAGACAGCACTCAGGGGGAGGCCAGTGGGAGGTCGTCAAGACTGTAGCGAGCCACAGTGTAATAAGATTATAGCCAATTAATCTGCCCCAAAACCACAGCCCAGCAATTCACATAATGAAAGCTGGTTTTCATTTGAAACATGGGTGGGCCTGTGGTGCCTAGTCACTCACACCAGGGCCTCATGAATCAGTGTCAGAGCTCGTCCACCCTCGGACAGCATGTTTATTGACAAGTACAGTACAGGGAGTGGAGGCAAAGTCAGACTGTAAGAGCGGAGGCATCCCAGCCATGTCCCTAGTTGTACATAAGCTGAGTTGTTTACTTATGTCAGGATGTCTTGAGTTCAGTGTGTGTATATATATATATATATATATATATATACTACAATAGTATATTATGCACTGTACTCGAAAACACATTTTTTTTTTATTAAAGTGATCTATTAAAATGTTTACTGTTGGAAAAAACTAGTCCAAAAACATTCCATCTGTGTCACAGCATAAGGCGAGTCTTCCACATGCTTGTAGGGTCAGCCAGAGAGCGAGATGCAAAGCCAAGAAGAAGTTTCAGAACACACAGGATGCTGTTCACTCTAAGCTTCTTATCTCCACCTATCACTAGTTCAAACACCCAGAGCACCCACTAAGTACAAACCACTGAGTCTCTCAGGCACTTTCTGTGGCAGCATTGCTTATATGTGCAAACAGTGTCAAACTTCAGAGGTTTATGTTCAGTGTTAAAGTAGTAGTTTGAAACTTTGAGAAATATACTTATTTGCTTTCTTGCTGAGAATTAGATGAAAAGATTGAAACCACCTCTGACATCTGTATGTGTATGTTAAATATGAAGCTGAGGCCAACAACTGCTTAGCTTAGCATAAAGACTGGAAACAACAAGGGAAAAGAGCTATTGTGACTGTGCAAAAGTCAACAAAATCTGCCTATAAGCACTTCTAAATGTATCTAATCTAAATGTTATATCTTGTCAGAAAGAGTACAAAACGTTTTGATTTTATGGGGGGTTATGTGGTATCATTATATTTCTGTATGTATATATTATTTCTGGCTAATTAAGTTACTTATTTTCTCATCTAGGTGTGACAACTTGTTGCTTTCTGTTGGAGATTTATTTTCAAAGATAACACACGTAAATAATTTATAATGGTTATGTCTTATGTATTAACATAAGACAATCACTATTATAATCATTACATTTGGCTAACATCCATATTATTAGCATTTTCAATTTTAATGCCAAAAATGTTGCCAACATAATTTAGATCATCGCACGCTAAAACTTTTACAGCTTGGTGTCAAATGATGCCAGGTGTATCAGTACTGATTCCTTAAGCATTTCCTATCTCACAACAAAGTCAGTACACTGAGTGCAGTTTAATGAGGCGTTCAGAGGTGCAAGCAGTCAGCAGATGAGGACCTTAATCTGACAGTGAGCCATGCTGTCTGATACTTAAAGACAACATTAGAGGAGATTTAGGAGACATGATACTTCACTGAGGCACGAGGCATTGCACATGAGCCCTAAGAGCATCTTTTCATATACAGCATTACCAAAGACAATGATCCCGAGTGTTATTATGATAAGCAGCTGTACACCTTGTCCTTTACGCTCTATTTCTATCCAGTTCAAATGTTTCTTTATGATTTAAATGAACTATATGTTAAAATACAGTGAGGTAATACGATTAATAGTTCTGACATGCAAAATATTTTTAATCTTTATATTTTCTGGTTTACCTGTACGAGATGTAATTTAGCAAAAGTAGGCAGTTTCTTCATAAGTCTACAGTACATTTACAAAAATTATTGTGTTATGATTATACAGTATGGTACTAAAATATTACCATTTTAAAAACGTATGGGACTTAAGTGTTATTTTAAAAGTCATTTTAAACTCACACTCATATACTTATTTATTTTTTTACCTTAAATGAGGCAAATACTGTGTGTCCAATGTCCCCCTGTATGTTGTTTTCTCTTATTTTCTCCACCTTTCTTTTTAGATGACTTTCTCAAGTCATAATTTGTACTCTTTTCTTTCTGTAATTTTCCATCTTTCAGTGGCCAGAACAACCAAGCAAGGCTCGCAGTGGCCCTTGACGGCACAGTACAGCAGCTCCTCGGCGGAAGCAGAGCAGTCCACAGGAACACGTCTCCCTGCCTCTCCTCCTTTTCTCAAGGGTGACAGACTAATAGGATTGGTTGGATTTATTGCTATTTAACGAGGGATTGGCTACAGGGTCGCAGCTCCACCATAGGAACTTGACCCCCCTACCTACAAAGTCAAGCCATTGTTGTCACACGTGTCACTGCAGAAAAAGAACGTGTGCGCGACGTGCAGCCAGTAATCATTATGAGGCAATCAACAGCAACTATGAATCACATATTTTCATGGTAGGTTTGCAGTTTTCCTTTAAATTTGTATTACATTTAACTTCTAATTGCATTATGTTTGAATAATTTGTTCAAATGTATTACTATAAGTAATGTTTTCCAGTGTTAAAGATGAGATTTTTCACTCATCATTTGGAGATGAAAAGCACTGACTAGACCCCAAAGAGTTCACATTTGTCAAACTATTATGATTTGGAAGTATGACGCATACTATAAAATCTCTAAAAATGTCAATAAACTTTATGGTTTATAAAAACTTCTTTCACCAAATGTCTGCTTGCTTGCCTCAAGTTTGTGAAAGTATACCCATGTTATCGTGTATATACAGTTTTTGTGCATGTGCATGTTTAGCTTTACAATCCCAGCCACTTGCACAGTTATTAAAGTTCATTAGGTATACGTCCCACCGGTGGCTTTACCCTCCTTGCAGCTTAAAGACGCTCCTCCTCTTCCTGTGCGGGCCCTGAGCTCACCTCTTTGCCTCACGCAACACATCACGCGAGTCATCCCTCCCTCCCTTCCTGTCAGGTGCTCCAGCTGGACGGTAAACTCAGTGTGGAGGTGAGTCGTGTCTGTCTGAACGTGACACGAAAAAAGCCAATTGACACTTTGAGGATTGCTGGTGCAGTAGGTGTTTTGACATCATGTGTCGGAGTTAAAAGTCTTAATCTTTTTTAAACAGGTTAGGTGACCGGATGGGGGAGCATTCCAACACTTGGATGGACATCAATCTCTCCCAGTTGATTAACAAGTGCAGAAATGGGCAAAATGGATTTTAACTGAGGGAAAGACTTGGGAGAGTCCCAAAGAACACTGCAGCAAAAAGCATCCAATCAGAGAGCAAACTATTCTCTTGCCCATGCCTCTAAACCTTTGTTCCTTATTGGATTGATATTTGAAACAATAAAAAAACAACAACAATAAAAAACATTAAAAATATGCTATTCTTATGCACAAGCTATTAAAATGACGTACTCTTCTAATTCTTGTTTCTCACGCCACTTACTTTTAAATTAGAATTTGTTTTAGTACCCAAAACACAAGAAATGACACAAAAGGGACATTCTACACTAACAGTTTGAGTAGCATCAGACAAAAAGAAAGAGTTTTACTCACAGAAACTCAATTTTCATCAAGAGTAAGTCCAACATTTCTGAGTGAGGGTCTGAGTAAAGTCTAAACTGTTAATCAATAAAACCCTCATTGAGATAAAAAATCTCTTTTTCTATGTCCTGGCCAAGACCGTACCAATGAATAACAGACAAACTTTGCTTTGTCACTACTGCACATTATCAGGGGGATTTTATCTAGGCAATAACTGACTGATCTAAATTAAATCAAAATTCCACTTAAAGTAATAAGAAACACTTTAACAGACTTATGGTAAAGACTCTATTAGCATAAAAACATTTTTGAAAGTATATGTATGTACTAATATGATGATTTGCATTATTAAAACTTTCTTTTCAGTGAGTTATGCAAAACAAAATGCATCAGAGTG